ACAGCGAGAGAGGGAACACAAGCAGGGGGAGTGGGAGAGGGAGAAGCAGGCTTCCCGCAGAGGAGGGAGCCCGATGCGGCGCTCGATCCCAGGACCCTGGGACCATGACCTGAGCCGAAGGCAGACGCTTAATGACTGAGTCACCCAAGCACCCCAAGAATTCGGGGTTTTAAAGGGAAGAGCCATCTCCCCAGCTGTGGCCCTCTTTGGGGCCCATCCCTTTGGGTGTTTGCAGAGCCCCCCAGGAAGGAGAAGGAGCCAGCGTACCTGCGGCAGACAGCATTGTCCACTCTTTGGACCCCTTAGGTATTCACCAGCTACATTGACCTCCTGTACCCCACAGAAGACAGGAACGACCGGCTAAGAGATTCTTACTTCTTTACCTGCAAGTGCCAGGAGTGCACCACCAAAGACAAGGTAGCCCCCGGTCGGGTAAAGGTGCCAACCATACCCTGCACCTCAGCACCTTGGCACCAGTCGAGGGCCCTGTCTGCCTGGGGGCGTCTCCTCCTACCCTTTAAACCCATCTTACTAAGACAGCTAGAGGGAAATCGAGTTACACCAGGTCTCTGTTCAAACCCTGATCCTCACAGCTGATGAAAACATTTGCACTACACCGTACAGGTAAGAGAAGGATTTGCCAAGTTGCTGTTTCTTGGAAAGAAATGTCTGCTCAGAAAATTGGGGAGGGGAAAAGCACACGAGAGTAATTTTCAGGCTTTCCAGCCTGTTCGTCAGAACATGGAAAATTTTCTCTGGCATTACCCATGTTCTTTTGGCCGTGCTCCCCCTCCTCATTCTGTTCTCTTGATTCATAGATGTGTGAACCCACAGATCTGCCCATAGCAAACATATTCTAAGTGTCCTGCCTAGATAAGGATTGTCTAGAAAATTCGTACTTTTGTTTGTTTGTTGTAAAAAGGTATTGGAGTACTGAATTTCTTAGATCCAGTGCCTGATTTCCTTGCATTCTTTTGCGACTTTAGAATGGGCAAGCCCCTATCCTTGCATAGGAAAGTAGACTATTTGAGAGGTTTCCCCCTCAGTGTGGTTTCCGTGGGAGGTAACACCTTGCACCTGTGGACATCTCCCTCAGGATAAGGCCAAGGTGGAAATCCGGAAGCTCAGTGATCCCCCAAAGGCAGAAACTATCCGTGACATGGTCAGATATGCACGCAACGTCATCGAGGAGTTCCGGAGGGCCAAGCACTACAAATATATCCTTTAAAACTGTCCAGAAGTTTACTGCCCCTCACCTGCAGGAGGTGCTGGAGAGCTGGGAGGAGGGAGTGGAAGAAGGGTGAGCATGGGATTCTGAACGTGAAAGGAGGAATGTCTTCTGGCAGACGTGGACAGAGTAACTGACTGCCCATGACTTGGCGTCAACCGCATCCAAGTTGTGTGGTGTTGATTTCATCTGACTTCTCCTTGTTTCACTAGTGTGGTCAGGAGCTGGATGTGGTAGAAGAGTTTAATGGTCAAAAGCTATGAAGGAGAGTTCCTTGAAGGCCCGCATTGCTTGGGTGTCGTACTCTAGGCAAGCACAGTACCGAGGGCTTTGCGTATTACATTATTGCCATCCCCGTGTAACAGATGGGAACAGACTCCTGGATAGCAAGTATTGTACCCAAGGGACAGAGCTCACCAGGATTTTTGCCCCAGGTCTGCTAACTACCATAATCCACATTCTTAACCACTACATTATAGCATTTTCTTAGGTTGAAAAGGCATCACATTTACGCTGGGGGAAGAACTAAAAGCAGCAGAGGAAATTGAGAGAGGCACAATTTTTTTTTCCCCCTCAGTCTAAAAAGGAACTTGCCCATAGTGGGGACTTCTTCCTTAAAAATGCTTCAACTAAAGTGCTGAGCTTGGGTGAATGAGGTTGAAGATTTATGATCCTAAACATTGTTTACAGCTGAACCCAGGGTCTGTTCCCTGTGGCTAAAATTTTTCAGTCGTTCAATAGTTGAGGTCTTCAGTTTTTCCTGAAGTTTGTTTCTTTAAGAAAAATATGATTCTTGTAGAAAAAATATTTTCCTTTCACTTTTGCTTGGGTTTCTGTAATTTACTTTTTCAGAGGATGAGGGTAGGGGCAGAATGGATGGAATAATTCCTTGGACCCAGCCTTGGGCAGTCTCCCAAGTCACCAGAGCCTGTGGTTTCCTTGACTCCAGAGCACCCCCTAGTGAGCTGCTGGAGATCTGTGAGCTCAGCCAGGAGAAGATGGGCTCCGTGTTTGAGGACAGCAACGTGTACATGCTGCACATGATGTACCAGGCCATGGGCGTCTGCCTGTACATGCAGGACTGGGAAGGAGCCCTGCGATACGGACAGAAAATCATTAAGCCCTACAGGTGATGGCAATGGCTCAGTTCTCATCATCTTAGCAGGGACTGGAATTTGGTGATTTGGAACGCTATTTTTGTTTTCCGACTGTCCTGTGTTGGAACATGCCTAGAACAGCTTTCCCATTCTGCACCCACACCTGGAGCACAGGTGTAGGCTGCTGTTCCCTCCGCCGTTTGGAAGAGACACCTGTGGGGGCAGGCTGAGGTTATGAAGGGGGTGCCGGGCAGGAGCCCTGCCGGGACCTGTCCAGGGTGCTGTAGCCAAAGTAGTTAATTCCCATCAGTATTAAGAAGCCACCGTCGTGTTTGTTTTCCATCCCATGCCTTCCAAGTTAAACACACTTATGCATTGGTAAGTGGTGGTCTCACATCCCTGCTTTTCCATCGTTAGTCACACCATCCCCTTCTTGTGCTTTTGGAAATTGCAGCCCAGTTTGCAAATGGGGACATGCTAGGACCATTGCATTGGCTCTGGTTATCCATTATCCCCCACCTCCCACCCCTAGCTCTGAATAAAGCAAGTTGGATTTTAGCTTACAGTAATAATGGGTATCAGCCCCGGGGAAGTTTCCTGTCGAGAGGGTTTTTAAACCTTAAAGTGTGTGACAGATGGAGGTTGTGGCCGTGTCCTCCGGCCCTGATTAGCCATTTCAGGGCTGGGATGGCCTAGATCTTACCAGTGGGGCCCTTGTTAAACACATTCACATTGTACATTTACAGGGTCTCCCCAAGACCCAAGTGGCCCAGAATCTCTGGGCATTAGACCTGAGATCCCTGTGCCCCAGAAGCACCCCAGGTGTCTCTCATGGATCTGAGAAGCCCTCAGCACTCCCTCCCATTCTAAGGTTGGGGACTGTAAAGTTTGTATCCCGTCTGGATTTCCACGGCCTTCCACTTACCCTGCCTTGCCTGGATTAGCCATCAGGGGGAGCTCAAGGGAAGCCAGCTCCTAAAATCTGCTCTTGGAAACAATTTGCTGCATCACAGAGGCTCTCAAAGCCTGTCTTCTTCCTGGGGTGGGTGAGGAAAGCCTCTGGTCTTATGCAAACTGCCCTCTGTGAGATCTGGAGGGAGGGGATGAGAGAGACAGAAAGAATGAGATCATTTTAGCTTTGTGGTCCCTCTCCCAGCAGGGCCTTGCTCTCCTGGACCCTTCCTTAGCTTGCTGAGCCTCTCCTGGAGGCCAGCTCTGGCCTTCTGTGGGGCCCCTGGGGCCATGGCTTCTTCCAGGCAGCATGATGCCGCCTGCCCAGGAATATAGCCAGAATGTGCCTCTTCTAGGTGGCTTTTGAGGGTAGAGCAGTACAGACCAGTCTGTAAGTCAACACCTACACACACACACACGCATTCTCTCTCCCCGCATCCGCTCTCACCCATGAGCTGCCTCCTGGTCTCTTTCCTTGGCAGGCCCTAGCCGGCAGCCTTGTGAAAACCAGAGAGAGAACACCTGCTGTATATAAAGCCCTCTCCTGGACAACAGAGAAAGCTTACCTAAGAAGAAGGTGTTCTCCTGACTTCAGAGAGCTGGCAGCTTTGCTAAACCAACTGATACCATAGAGTGTGACAGAAAGCTGGGGTCTTGAGACACATGGGAGTGTGGATTTTTAGGTGTACTGTCTTTTTAATATGAGGGGATAGGCCTAGTGTCTTCATAAATAGGGGCTTCACTTTAAAAGATGTTTTCCCAGTGCCCTGCTCTGGGTACACTAAAACAAAAATCTGCGACTGGGATTGGATGTCGTGTTTATCAATGTTTTTGTGTAGGATTTCCCCTGCAGTTTTTCTGTAGCTTTTCAGAAACACACAAACTGCGTGAAAGGAAGAGCCTCTGGGGTGCTTAGACAGGGTTGAGCCGTCCACACTTGCCCTCCCTGCACCTGCTAGGGCTCAGAGGAGTCTGGCTGCGGTGGGGAGCGGGCCGTGGGCTTGGCAGCCGTGGGCTCGCTGCGCCTGGCCTGCAGCTGCTTGGGAGCCTTGGGCAAGTGGCCTGTTACCTTCTCTCTCATTGCAGCAAGCACTACCCTCTGTACTCCCTCAACGTGGCCTCCATGTGGCTGAAGCTGGGGAGGCTGTACATGGGCCTGGAAGACAAAGCTGCTGGAGCGAAAGCCCTGAAGAAGGTATGTCTGCATTGTGGGGCTGGGGGGCCTGGCGCCCCACGGCCACTTTTTCCTTCGTCCCCTGCCTTCCCACCTGATAGCGCCGAGTGACCGAAGTCCTAGAGACTTGACGGGCTCTTGAGCCACCTCTGGTCAGAGAGGCGGGAGGGGGCGGACTGGGCAGGTCAGAGTAGGGCAAGTGATTGAGCCTTTGCCTTGTCTGCACCCAGGCCCTCCCTCTGTGCCCATCGAGAGGGGCTGGCTGCCCTTCTGGGCACAGCCCGTGACTGGGGAGAAGGGGGTACCGCCCCCATCCCACGTGAAACCCTGGAAGTGGACAGAGGCCATGGGGTGGGTCAGGAGACCGCGGTGAGGGAATCTTCCATTTGTCTGTCCTTCGGATTATAATTATGCACTTGGGAGTTTCTAAAATGTACTTAACAACCGTCTTCACTGTTCATCCAGTATCAGTTACATGCCAGGACCTTCATGTGTGTTTTTTTCTTTTAATTTCTTAAAAATGAGATAGATTTTCCTGATGGAAAAATTGAGATTCCTACAGGCTAAGGCCTTCCTTCAGACTGGGGTCTTTCTGAGTTGAAAGCATCCACTCCACTCACCCAAGCTGTGGCCCACACCCGGGGCAGACCAGGCAGCTGGGCAGTGTTGGCCTCCCTCGGTGTCCACAGCTGCCCTGTGCGGGCGACGGGAGCTCAGAATCACCATCCTGAATTTTTTTTTTTTTTTTTTTAAGATTTTATTTATTTGACAGAGAGAGACACAGCGAGAGAGGAAACACAAGCAGGGGGAGTGGGAGAGGGAGAAGCCGGCTTCCCACCGAACAGGGAGCCCAATGCGGGGCTCTCTCCCAGGACCCTGAGATCATGACTTGAGCCGAAGGCAGACGCTTCACGACTGAGCCACCCAGGCGCCCCCACCATCCTGAATATTGATTCTCGTTCTTTATGTGGAAGTTAGCAGTTGATGAAATGTAATCTTTGAGACAGTCTGTTGAGTCCTGTAAGAGAATGTCTGTGAAAGTTCGGGCCAGATTCCGTGTCTCTTCCCAGTAGACTACTTGGGAAGACGGTATAAGGTCCCACATCCCAAACGGAAGGGTCCGGGCCCGACTAGGCCAGAAGTATGACCTAAGTATAAACTTTCCTGTTTTTAAACCATAGAATTTACCTCCTAAGACAACAGATTTACTGTTTTGGTGAACTGAGGGAAAACTGACCATTTGGGTCATAGCTGCAAGGTGCTGGTAGGTAATGAGGTACAAGATCAGTGAAGGACACAGGAGATCTGAGCAAGGAGTGGGAGTGATGAACACAGAGGGGCCGGAGCAGGGGAGGCATTTGAAGCAGGACCTTCCTGAAGGCTCACACTGTTCTTTGGCCTGCCTCCTGTTGGTTTGAGATCTATGAAGTGAATGGTATAAATGAAAGGATTGTCCATCAGAGTCACAGGCCATCAAAACTTCCCTGTTTGGAGAGTGGAAATAATTTTTCTATCTGTGAGTAACAGTTGAATACAAAAAAGCAAAAATAAACTTGTGCAGATAACATTTGGGACATGCTTCCTATATGTCGGACCCTATTCTAAACACTTTATGTGTACTAACAACTCTGAGAGGTAGGCCTCCTTCCTATTTTGCAGATGAGGAAAATGAGGCACAGAGTAGTTAAGCAAATTGCCCAAGGTCACACATCGAGGAAATGATGGAGCCCCTGGCAACTCTTGCACTTTATATTGCCCAACTGTGAAGAAGCCTTATTATAAATATGTTCTCTCCAGCTTCCTCTCAGGAAACCTGCAACTACTTTTAAGTTTTTTTTAAGAATATGCATTACAAGGAAAACACGCGCTTTTTGAAAGGGAAGAACGGTTTCATCATGTCTTACGGATTAGCGGTGTAAACTAAAATCAAAATAGGTTTGGTGTGAAGTTCTCTGTTCCAGCACCGCCTGTTTCCTTGGTTGAGCACAGCCAAATAATTCTATCCCTAAAGCGTTTCTTACTGCAGTCTCTGGGATGTCATGAAATCAATTTCTCTGTATCATTTCTTCAGCTAGAGTAGAATAATGTTTTATTCAGCGGTACAGACTGGATGACTAGTTGGTTAGCAGATAATCTTGTCTACTTAAAAAAAAAAAAAAAGGAAAAGAAAAAAAGCCAGGCTCTGGAGGAGGACGGGGCTCTAAGGTGTCCCGTGCCGTGAAGCAGAGCGGTCTGGCTGGGGTTACGTTGGCCCAGGGTGCGGGCGAAGGGGCCTGCCTCCAGGCTCTCACCCCTTCACTTGTCTCTCTCTCTCCTAGGCCATCGCCATCATGGAAGTGGCTCACGGCAAAGATCATCCGTACATTTCTGAGATCAAACAGGAAATTGAAAGCCACTGAAACTACGCCAACACGTTCATTTTTATTTAAATGCTAGTGCAGAAGCCTTCAAGGATTTGAATATTTCCAGGCGTACACATGACTCTTGCATTTCTGTAAAATCGCTGGAATGAAAACACCTACTCGCCCTTAAACCTCACACATGGCTTACCTGAAGTTGGTCTTAATCTTTACTCTTAGTACCAAAATGATTTCTGAATGCTTTCATTGCCCTAAGAGATAATGACATGGTTTCATTTGTTACCCTAGACTTTGGACAGATTGAGTTTTAAAAGAATGCGATTATTTTTCCCTTCATGCCTATTATAACGTTCTGAACACTGGAATGATGAGGGAGAATAAAAAAGGTAACGGTATTTGCAGTTTGTCTTTTCTTCTGTCTGCGGGGAGGAGCTCACCATGGCGGTGGGAGCTGGGTCCGGGAGGGGCAGTCACCCCTGCTCTGCATCGGGGTTCAGCCTGCACTGGCTCTCAGGGCTCAGTGACCTTGGAGGAAGAAAGGAGGTGCAATGAAGTGACCTGAGTGCCCCACCCTGGCAGGGGGAGTGCGGCTGTTTTGAGTCTTCGGTCTAGTATCTGAAATCCCTTTAATGCATAAAGGTGCCTTGCTTCACTTTCTTGGCTCCCCCCCCCACCCGCCCCCCCATCTGTCTGAAAGCAGACTTTCCATTCCTCATTCTGTTGATTGTTCTCATGCAGGACTCTCCTTGTTTGGAAGCCCTCCAGGATAAGCTGGAGAAGGAAAAAAAATTTTTCCTTACCAACTCTGTGTTATTGAGCAAACACTGATCCGTCCCCGCGCGGCCAGCAGGAATCCGGCTTCCCACAGCCCGGAGGGCAGCAACCTGGGCGCTGTTTGCTAGCAACCGCCGGGGAGGACCGACCCAGCCCGCCTGCACCCCCCCCCCCCCCGGGGACGCCCTGTTTCCTGGAGGAGGTTCCCGAGTCCAAAGAGAGGAACTTCCCCACTGGTAATAATTAAAGCCTGCTGGAGTTTACACTTGAGCTTTCCTCCATATTCATGAGCTGCAAGCAGCTCAGCTGCAGTTCGGTACATTATCCTTCCAGGCTCATCGACACACACCCCCGTGCACACATCTCAGATGTACACGCATGTCTCACACACACGGTTAACTGCACACAGTGGGATTCAGCAGGCGGAATGCATGCTCTTGTTCAGTTAAGTGCAATAAGATGCTTCTTGAACACCTACTGTGTGCAAAACACTCTGTCTCTCTCTCCAAGAGCGGAGAGATGAGCACTGCACAGGTCCTGCCTCCAGGGAGTTTAGTGTTTGAAGAATGCTAACTGACTCTGTAGTTAAGCCTAAAAGCAGCTTAGCAGCTGCCCCCCCCCCGCCCCGCCCCTCTGTAGGTTTTATAAATGTAATATTTTCTCAAAAAATGTAATACTGGAAAAAAGTAAGCTGTTCTTTCTTCTTCTCCAGTCCGATTCTCCAGAGGTGACCCCTGGAAACCGTGTGCTGATGTGGTCCCAAAATTCTCCCCACGCCCATGTAAGGTACATACGGAAACAGATGAGAAAAACAAAGGCAGAATGGCCACTGACCTATTATTTTGTGATCTCTGTCTCTGACTTAACAAGATGGACCTCTTTTCATTCCAGCATTTGCAGATTTGCTTCATCCTTTTCCGAGTCAGAACATTGCACTGAATGTGTCATAATTTACTCGTTCTATTTACAGACACGTGGTATTTCCAGGTTGCTGTCACTTTGAACAGTGCCACAGGGCACAGTCTTCGATGTGGAAATTTGCTCTCAGGTGGCAGCGTTTTGGGGGCTAGATTCCTAGAAGTGGAATTTCAGGATCCAGTAGTGAAAACTTTTAAAATTTGATTAATTTTGGGGCGCCTGGGTGGCTCAGTTGGTTAAGCGACTGCCTTCGGCTCAGGTCATGATCCTGGAGTCCCGGGATCGAGTCCCGCATCGGGC